TTGTTGTTGAAGTGTTGAAGAGACTTATCTAAGGAAAAGAAGATCAAACCTATGAATAGTAAAATGACAACAAGCTCACAACTACCAACAGTGGAATCTAAAAAGAAAAAAAAAAACAACCAGAAACAAACTGAGCAAGCAACTAGAACAGAAGCAGAGTCAGGTAAATGGAGACCACATGGAGGGTTGTCAGCAGGGAGGGGAAGAGGGGAAATGGGGGGAAAGGTGAAGAGAATAAGAAGAATGGTGGGTGGGTACAACATAGACAGAGGGGTGTTGGGAATAGTGTGGGAGGTGGAAAAACCAAAGAACTCATATGTATGACCCATGGACATGAATTAAGGTGGGGGGGGAATTGCTGGAGGGAAGGGGTGTGTGCAGGGCAGAGGGGAGCAAAGGGGAAAAAATAGATCATCTATAATAGCTTAATCAATAAAAAATACTTAATAAAAAATTTGCTAACCCTTGTCCTACAGGGTAGAGCTGGAGAAAGTACACTTATCATAAAGAGAGAATCAAGGTTTTAACTGAGAAAAAAAAGAAAAGAAATTTAATGCCCAACAAAGACTCTGATCTAAAGAAAATACCAAAATGCTGTGGTTACAGTTTAGGAAAGTCACTTATAGCTCAGAGGCTTCATGTTCTGGCTTCTCTGGCCCTTTGTTCTGTGTTGGTTAAAGTCAGTGTGAGTCCCAGGGAGTGAGAGCTGATCCCATCTGCATGCAGGCAGACAACCTATTTGTATTTCTAACCTCAGAACTCAAGCAGGACTGCTGAAGAAAATACTACTTCAGTTTTAGTGTGTTTTTGAATATCAAAAAAAATAATAATAATAACCCAAAATCTTTGTAACGGTAAGTGTAATAAAATATAAATGGGCTAACTTCACAGCACAAATGGAACAGACCAAATAGTATCAAATAAAGCAAGGGGAAAAAACCTTAGATACTAAAAATGTTTCGGGGCATAATTTCTACGGGAAATTGGTAACTATGTTCACCTTTCAATCTGATTTAAAAGAATTCGGAACAGAGTCTCACATTAATATGACTTAATTATTCACTATATAATGAAGAGTCCCAATATTCTGAATCATCGTCCTCTTCATTTGGGAATGAGGGAGTGGGGAACAAAAAATTGGCCAAAATAGCTCATCTTGAAGCAGTCAAGTCATTCTTTTGTCTTGTCCTTTTAAAATGAGGATGTGACCAGTTCCGCCATTCCCTGTCCTCTACTGCACTATGACAACACATTGTCCATCATTTCCATGGAAACCCAGGGTCCTAAAAGCTTTGATTAAATTCAGTTTTAAATCCTAGCTCTAGAGAGCATATCCTTCTCTCCACTAGGTCCTTTAGGTAACCCTAAGGGACCTAGTTTTTCCCCTGGATAACCAGCAACCCCTAGGGCAGCAGAGGACAGCAGACCAGACCTCTGGCAGACCAAAGATAACATCTTAAGTTATGTTTCACTTCCTGAGCCCTAAGGTAGAACAAGCCCCTGGCTACGTTCCCAAGAGACTCAGCAGAGGGACCCCAGAATAGACCTCAGAACTGTCCTCAAGACCGGCAGAAATGATTCATTACCTCACCTCCAATCAGCTCCCAGCATTACCCTGAAACACTTAACCCACAGTATCTTGCAGTTTTGCCCTAGACAATCTGTAACCTATGTGCCATTGAGGAGCTGGGGCTTTTGAACATTAGCTCCCCCTTCTCCTGGATGCTGCCATCCGCCAATAAAATAGCCAACTTGGGCCCAGCATAATGGCCCTGCCAAGAATGGTGGCAAGAAGCAGAAGGGCCAGTTCTGTTCTATAACACCACTGATCACATGGAATTTTACTATAGTTATTTATTCTTGCTTATCTATTTCTCCTCTCTCTTGAACACAGAAATCATATCAGAACCAACAGAATAAAGTAAAAACCATGACCTGGCAATCTGTAAATAACATTCCACAAAGACAGTCTTGTCCCACTTCAGAGCCCTGGGTAACACACAGCCCAGACACTAGTCCATGTGTATGAAAATGAACACCTTGGTTAAAGAATTGATGCACCCTAATGCATATAAGCAAACAGCTGAAATACACTTTCAACTGAGTTTTCACAATGTTCTTTGCAAGCTTTTTGTCTGTTAAATTATCAGGAAAATGCAGGTTCATTTATTATAGACAATCATCCATTCTCTGTACTGTTTCGCTCTCAGAAATCCAGCCCAACATGGTCACATTGGAACAGTTCACCTACATTTTCCCTTTATAGGCAAAGAAAACAGAATCATTCTGCCTTGCTCCGGGAAGAAAGGCAGAGCCGGTCCCCAAGGCCCTCAGAATGCCATCTGGCCGAAATCTTTCCCAGAGTTTTCTGGCCCAGGGACAAAGCACTTTTTTTCCAAATGGATCAACACTGTCACCCAGTGGACAGATAACTAGGCAGGCTGAGGCCTTAGCACGGCTTTTGGCTTGACAGCCAGTGTTCAAAGAGGAACCTGTTTATTTTAGGTGGTCGCAGCTAATTGTTAATATTCTCTTACAGGGACCCGGGAGGACCCCAGCTGACAAGCTCTTGATTTGGATATCACAGATAAGTGCTGGGTAAGGAGGGCACACATTTCCGTTGTGCTGATGCTTTCTTCTCTTTTCTTTTTTAACCATCAGTAAATGTGTAGGAAGCACAAACTGTAAACCAGCCAAGTGAGTCTGCCAAGACCCACAGGATGAAACAGGCTTGCAGGAACAGGGTGACATTTGATCACCTGCCAGGTACTGCGGGAAGACTTCCTTACCACAGAATAAGACTCATTGTTCATTGTTGTTAGTGACAGCGATGTGTATTTGGAAAACTGAAAATAGATTTTTGTATGTTTGTGGACTGGAATCTGAGGAAGTTACTCGGTTTACTACAGTGAAATCAGTGGATGAATTACTCTGGCTTCCTCCGTTTAATGCATCTCAAAACACAAGTTCAAGTGCAGCCTCTGCCCCATCTCATTTGTCCTGAGTCTCTTTTTCTAGTCTCAAATGTCTTGTGACACTTGTAACACACTGGCTTACTTTTCATATTAAGCTAAGAGGCTCTTTGCTTTTCTTGCTAAATGCACCTTTAAATTAGTTTCGTCTCCCCAGCTGGAACTCATGGACAAGCTGAAAGCCTTCATCTGGTATCACTTTACACTCCTCAAGCAGCTCTGCAGTAGTGGGAGCCGAGACTTCACCTTGTAGGAGGTTTTGCAGCAACTTACAATTAAAAGCAAAGTCTCTGTTTATTGTGAGAAAGCCTGGGTTTGAATGCTGACCCCACTCCTTGCTAGCTTCTTGCCCTTGGACAGGTTACTTAATCTGTCTAAAGTCTCAGTTTCCACCTCTATTATCAGAGATAATATTAGTACCTACCTCCTGGCTTTCTGGGGATTTAGACAAGAAAACACAAATGAATAACTTAGCCCAGTGCCTGGGCACATGGAAAAAAGCTCCATAAATATTAGCTTTAGCACTATTGTAATTATTCCAGCAGCAGTCCTTGTTATTCCTGAAAAGCAACTTCATAAAGTACCTTTGGACAAGCACATGACATCATCGTATTTTTTAAGCCAGTGGTGAGAGATCATTCAGTTGATTGCGTCTCATTAAAATGATCCAGGGAAGACTTTTTGAAAACACTGCTAGGTCGAATAGCCAGAGGAAAGAATGCTTATCACACAAATCTGTCAGATGAGAGTCTAGAACAGGCAAACCGAAGCTGCAGTGACAGAAAGTGAATCAGTGGTCGCCTGGGATCAGGCTGGACGTACTTACAGCGAACGGGCCACGGGAAACCTTTCGGGGTGATGGCAACGTGTTCTGCCTTGGTTGTGGAGGTGGTTACGCAGGTGCGTACATTTGTCAAAAGTCATCGGAACTGCACACTCAGAAGTGAGCGCACTAGAGCGTGTGTAAAATGTATCATAATTAAGTTGACGTAAAGAGAGTGCTGGATCTCACCCCCACAAATTCCGATTGAATTGTTCTAGGGAGAGGCCCAGAAATCATTTATTTTTCCACGTGCCAAAGGCGTCAGCCAGGGTTGGGAGTTACTGACCAACCCGGTCCTCTCCGCTGGCAGTTGCGGTTCACCCAAACACACACAGCTGGTTATGGTGGAAGGTGCAGGACTGGAAACCACGTCTCCAGGTACCTTGCGCTCCAAACCTTTACCGTCACCAATAATATTCCCTCTCCCTGGAACTTCTATCTTCTTCTTCTTACCTCTTTCTATCAAAATCCCTCCCACCTGTAGAGCCCAGCTCACACATCACAAGAGGCCTCAGGTTGCAGCTCTCCCTTTTGGACTAGGAGCTCCTGGTCGGCAGGGACTGTAGCTTTTTTATTTCTGTATCCTTGGTATCCAGTCCTGTGCTTGGCACAGAGCAGACATTCAAGTAAACATTTGTTGAGTAGAAAAATTGGTGGAAGGAAATTAACATCAGTGCCCACGAGATGCCAAGAATTGAAACAAGTGCTGTACACACATTATTTCACTGAATTTTTACAATTGTATACATTGGTTATCATTTCCCCCTTTTGTAAGGGAGCGAACAGGCCCAGAGAGGCTTAGTAATTTGCCCACGGTCACACAGTAAAGCAAGTAGTAGAACCGAGGTTTGATTTCAGGTCTGTTTGTTTTCAAAGTTCATGTTTTCTCTGCCAGACTAGGCTGTCTCATTTATGGTAGTTACTCTATTCAGTCTTCAATTATGGATACTACATAGCTTACCTCCTCAATTAGGTTATAAGCTTCTCAAATGCAATAATTAAATTTAAACCATAGAGCTACTCCTACTGTTACAAGAAGACCCGCAGTTAGAAAAGGATCTGTAAGCACGGGGGAAGGAGCCGCAGAAGACCGTGATTTGAGCCGGCCTGCTTCCACCTCCTGTGCACTCTAGGGCTGACTGCTGAGCCACGCAAGTGCCGCACCCCACAGTCGGTCAGAAGAGTCACAGATCTCGAGCACTTACCAAAAAGATTCCCGGAATGACGTTGTGCCTTTGAACCAGAAGTGGACAATGGCTGCCGGTGAATTTAGATGCGGAGATGATGTTGTATTTGAGAAATCGAAAGGAATCCAAACGACTCTTTAAAAAAAGAAATATGGAAAGTCGTGAGGACATTAAATCCCAGGTAACAAATCCTTTGCTCTGTGCAGTAGTATTTATATCTTTGAACCAAAAATTCCAGACTATCCCCACCACTCTATTAGAAATACCTTCATCAGCTCCCCCAGAGACCTCTGTATTGCCACGCAGTGGACACTTCATGTTTCTTGTATTACTTGCCTTCTTTATGACATTGCAAATTACTGAACAGCCCTCCCTTCTCAAACTCCCTCCTGGGTTCTTCCTCTGTGTCTACCATCCTAGTCTTTGTCAGGTACAACTTTTTCTCTACTTGATCTCTAAATATCTACTGTCCTAAAATCTCCAGCCTCTCCTCCTGCCATTCACTCTCTCTACACACTCCTCGGGTACCCCATGATTTTAGTTTCTATTTATGTCTACTAAATACACACAAAGCCCCCTTCCTTACCTCCTTCCCTCACATGCCTAAGTGTTGCATGGTCCTCCCCATCCAGTCATCTCATTCGATTGCACTCTTGCCCCCTAAGCCACTGGTGCGCCTGCTCCATACTGCGATGCTATGGGGCATGCTGGGCTGCTTAGGACTGTGGCTCCTACGAGTGACTCCATGGTCTGAACCCAGCCCCACTGCTTCCTAACTGAGGAATCACAGGCAAGTGACTGACTATCCTGTGTCTCAGTAACTGGCCTTAGCTCAATGCACTCAAATGCAGAAAGCCAGTCACTTAGGGTTCTTTTGAGAATTAAATGATATTCCAGGTAAGCCGTGGTTGCAACACAGTAAGCGTTCAGTAAGTATTTGCTCTATTGATCTTATTCTGACTTGCCATTTCTGATCAGTTCAGCAAATGTTTACAGAATATCTATTAGACAGGAGGCGCTGGAGTGGTGGAGCCCTCGGGATTTAATGTATATTGTTGTCACTCCAATGAGGGGTTGAACTCCTGATTTAGATCTTGGTCTCCTATCCACTCAGCTTGTCTCTCTTTTGGGGGGAAACCTAGCTCAGTCCACGAGCTCACACTCCCAGAAGCACCTCCCATGGGATAAGAAGGAATTAGCAGTGACCATGCACCCCCATACCTGAACCTCGGGCTGTAGAATGACTCACTCATTTATTAGTCATTTACCCATTTGACAAATATCTTTTAAGTGTTAGCCATGTGCCAGGCCCATGACAGGCACTGGGACTAGAATTGTGAACAAGGCATTGTCCTGCCATCAAAAACCTTCCAGTCCACTGGCAGAGAAATCCAGCTGCAAAGCAAGCTGGGAAGGTTAGGCGACTACTCCCAGAACCTGTGCTCCCAGAACCCACCACACACCCTCTGGGGCTCAGGCCACCCTTTTAGGAGCTTTGTCTATACCCCTGAAGCTTCCACCGAAGCGTCCAGTGAATTCCCACTACTGCTCAGCTTTCCAAACAGCTCAGCAATTTCCTTGTCCAAGGAAATGGACTTGAGCTGAAGAGAAGTCCTTAGAGGGTTTTAAGCAAAATGATGTAGTCATATTTGGATATTAAAAAGAACTCCCTGCAACATGTAGGAAATCAGTTGGACTAAGATAAGAAGCAGAAAAATTGGAGAAGCTGTTGGAGAAAATCAGGTGGGAGGTGATAAAGGCCTAGAATAAGCAGATGCAAGAAAACAGGGGATGAATAAAAGAAAATGTCACAGTGATAGAACTGATAAGACACAGAGACTTATTCAATGTGTTGAGGGTAAATGGTAGTAGACGGAAGAGGTTTTATGAATGCCTACTCAGATCTACTGGTCATGGTTACTCGGGGTAGAAATTAGAAGAAGGGCGTAGGGCCCAGCTTAGGCTCAGTTGAAAAGAATGGTGGATTGGTAATGTCTGCCATGGATGCAGAATGGGAGGGAATTGGCACACCTGGTATTTACCATGCCCTTTCTCTGGCAGAGAAAGCATAAAAATGCACTGCGTTTTGAAACATGCACACTGTGTGGTCCCATGTATAGGAAGGTCTAGAACAGAAAAAACTGATTTATGGTGAGAAAAGGCAGAATAGTGGTTACCTGGGTATGGGTAGGTGGGTGGATTATTGACTGAGAAGGGGCAAGAAGAAGCTTTTCAGGGCCTAGAAATATTCTATATCTTGATCTGTGTGGTAATTACACAGACATATACATATATAAAAATTCATTAAGCTATGTACCCTTAAGATTTGTGACCTATACTATATGAAGGTCATACCTCAAATGAAAGGGTGGGGGGTGGGACTTCCTTCCATGAGGCTTTGTGTAGCTGAGGAAATGTATTAAGATATACCATGCAAGTAAACAGTAGTTTACAATTTGTCTTTACATGTGTGACACTCACCTGAATGCAAGGCATGCTTCTAGTTCTGTTCTGTTCCCTGTACACTTCGGCCACTTCTTTTATTGTCTTGTCCTTTTCCATGTCTGAGAACACACAGACTATAATGATCTGATCGATGGAAGAGAGCTGCTTGCTGATCAGGTAATCGTACTCCAGGTCTGTCACTTCAGGAATGCTGTGCGTGCTGCATCGGCACGAGTCCCCTTCCTTCCCACACAGAGTCCTCCTCAGGACCACGGGACAGACCAGGTGGGACGCAAACCAGGCATCCTTGCTCTCCGTGGGAAGAGAAAGCCTGGAAAAGTAACAGGAGAAATTGTGTTTGAAGAACTGAAAGGCCAGAAAGAACATCATTTTAAGAAGTACCAAAGAACCAAAGTGGCCATGTTATTTTTATTATTGTTGTTATTTTTAGAATTGTATTAAATCCTACCCCCCCTTTTTTTGTTACAGTGAAAATATAGTCAATTTTGCATTGTATGTGTATACCCCAAAGTGGCTGCTTTAGAAAGCACTGAAATGTAATTCTGGACAGAATTATATCTGCCAATACCCTAAAATACTTGTCAATATACTAAAAGAGTCAAATGGCAGAGTTCGTGTTATATAAATATAATAATCCACAGTCTATCAGGGTTAGGAATTTTGGTTGCAAGCAACAGAAACATATTCTGGCTAATTTAAGCAAGCAGACAAAAAACAAAGGAATTTATTAAAGAACCCAGACAACGTCAGGAAAGGTGGAAGGACGGGGTTTGCAGGCTCCACTGCCAGAGAAAATGTCTAAGGCAGACACCTCAGCCACAGCTGCTGGGCGGACTCTCCCGCTCACCTGCTGGCCCTGCTGGCCCAGGACGCTTGGGTGCCAGAACTTCGGAAGTCATGTGGAGCTGCTTCCCCTCCCTACTTAGGGGGTCTGGGCAGCCCCTGCAGCTGCCTGAAGTCTGGGGCAGGCTTGTTGGATTGGTGGATCTGGACTATGTGTCTGGTCCCAGCTTCAGAGGAGGGGGGGGGAAAGCAAGACTCTGGTGCTTTTGGCATCTACAGCAGGAAGTAGTTTGCCTCAGCAGGTAGGGGAGTCCCCACATACAGACTGTGTATTCAGATGTGGGGTGGTCAGAACAAATGACTATTGTCCTCGGTAATTTACACATTCACCTGTAAATGGACCCTGAGCTAGTCCACTTTCTACTATTATAAACCCCTACAATGAAATTTTTGTACATTTCTCTTTTTGTATAAGACTTTTATTTTAGTGTAGTTAAACTTATCAAAATCTCCTTTGTGTTTGCATGTTTTTGTGTGTTTTGGCTTAAGAATTTATTTTCTACTTCAAGGTAATGAAAATATTCTCCTTATGTTTTCTTCCGAATTGTTTATTATTTGGCTTTTCATATTTAGCTTTTCGATCTACCTGGACTTTCTGATGGAGAGTAGAAATCTAAGATAGACAGGTAGGTAGATCGATAGATAGCCAGATAGTTGTCTCACTACCACTGATTGATTAAGCCATTCGTCCTCATTGCTTTGTAACGCTCTGTTGTGTGTCAAGTGTCCATACGTATGTGGGTCTGTGTGAGGCTTCTGTTCTGTTCTGTTGGTCTATCTAGCCTGGTGCCAATAGCACAGTACCTTAGCTACTATTTCTTCATTAAAAGCATTGAAATCTGGTAGGGTAGGTCATCCCACCTTGTTTTTCTTCTTCAAATGTAATAATATTATTTCTGGAATTAGCTATCTTATTCCCCCAAAAGCACAATGACCAAAAACAGAACTTTTGGCACATGTGGCTTGGTTTATGACTTGAGCCATAAAGAGCAGCAAGAGATTAACAAACCACCTTTGCCAGGGGCTGGACAGTGACAGAGAGCTCTGAGAGCAGGAGGCAGGGGCTGTCACTAAAGAAACTGGGTGTGTTTGCACTTAAGGATCTAATCTCCATCCTTTAAAGATCAGAAGTCCAGCCTCAGTGACACCCTATAGCTTTCCCCATGACTTCTTACTCCTCCATCCTCACCTTTGTCTTCCCAGGGGTCTATTTCAGGTGTACACAGAGTGTACCAATATCAGGGCCCCTGCAGAGGTATTATGAGCATCCCCAATTAAAGTAATTCCAATGTGTCAACTAGTGTGCTATGAAATCATTAAAAGTCAGATTTCAGGCTACAACCCTCTATATATACTTTGGCTCAAGAAAGCATTTCAAGTTCTTGCCTTGAGCACTGCCCCCAACTCCCAAGCTCCTGTCTCCAACACATTACAATCATGGTCAAATAAGACCATTTAAAAGTCCAAAGCTGTACTCTGAGCCAAGGTGAACACCTCTATGGATAGAAACACACTATGTTAATGAGGCTAAAGCCATAAGCTTGGTTGCTCCTGGACTAGAAAAAGCAAAAGTGGACAAGAATTTGGCTCTTGTAGGAAAACAGGAGGACTTCTAGCCAGGATGGAGGCATACATAGATACATTTGGCCTCCTTACACAACTAAAAGAAGGACAACAACACATTTAAAAACAAAGAAACAGAACTGCCAGAAAATTGAACTGACAGAAGTTCAACAACCAAGGAGTTAAAGAAGAAACATTTATCCAGACCGGTAGAAGGGGCAGAGATGGGCAACCAGGTGGAGAGGACTTGCAGCAAGGCAATGGCTGGAGGACCCAGGGGTCCCACATTCATGTGTGTATAAACCAGGAGGAAAAATTGGGTAGTGAAGCAGACTGCGCAACCCAGGATTTCAGTATGAGGAAATAAGCCTCACAATCTCTGACTGAAAAAAAAACCTGTGGGTGTTGCAGCAACAGGAGAAATTCCCAGCCTCACAGGAGAGTTTGTTGGAGAGACCCACAGTGTCCCAGAATGTACAAAAAACCACCCACCTGGGAATCAGCACCAGAAGGGCCTAATTTGCTTATAGGTACTGGAGGAAGTGACCAAAAGCCAGCTGAGAGCTGAGCAAGAAGCATTGTACCCCTCCCCCACATACAGCACCACAACACAGGGATGTGGGTGGCCCTGCCCCAGCAAATACCTAAGGCTCTGCCCTTAGTAATAACAGGCATGCCCAGACCAAAAAAATATATATATGACCCAAATGAAAGAGCAGATTAAAGCTCCAGAAAAAATACAACCAAGTAATGAAGACAAACCCAACCTATCAGATGCACAGTTCAAAACACTGGTGATCAGGATGCTCACAGAAATTATTGAGTATGGTCACAAAAAAAAAAAAGAGGAAAAAATGAAGTCTATGCAAAGTGAAATAAAGGAAAATATATTGGGAACCAATGGTAAAGGGAAGGAAACTGGGACTCAAATCAACAATTTGGAGCAGAAGGAAGAAATAAGCATTCAACCAGAACAGAATGAAGAAACAAGAATTTAAAAAAACAAGGAGGGGCTTAGCAACCTCCAGGACAACTTTAAATACTCCAACATCCAATTATAGCAGTGCTGGAAGGTGAAAAAGAGTAAGAAGTTGAAAACTTTGTTGAAAACATGATGAAGGAGAACTTCCCTGATCTAGCAAATGAAACAGACTTTCAGGAAGTCCAGGAAGCTCAGAGAGTCCCAAAAATCTTGGACCCAAGGAGGCACACACCAAAGCACAACATAATTACATTACCCAAGATAAAAGATAAGGAAAGAATCTTAAAAGCAGCAGAAGAAAAGGAGACAGCTACCTACAAAGGAGTTCTCATAAGACTAGCAGCAGATTTCTCAAAAGAAACCTTACAGGCAAGAAGGGGCTGAAAAAAAGTATTCGAAGTCAAGAAAGGTAGGGGCCTACACCCAAGATTACTCTATCCAGTAAAGCTATCATTTAGAATGCAAGGGCAGATAAAAGTGCTTCCCAGATAAGGTCAAGCTAAAGGAATTCATCATCATCAAGCCCTTATTATATGAAATGTTCAAGGGATTTATCTAAGATCAAAATTATGAACAGTAAAATGACAACAAACTAACACAACTATCAACAACTGAACCTAAAAAAAACAAAAACAAAGATGAACTAATCAAACAACTAGAACAGGAACAGATTCACAGAAACAGAGATCACGTGGAGAGTTATCAGTGGGGAGGGGGAAAGGGAAGAATGGAGGAAAAGGTACAGGGAATAAGAAGTATAAATGATAGGTACAAAATAGATGGGGAGGGGGGCAGGTAAGAATGTATGGGAAATGGAGAAGCCAAAGAACTTATATGTATGACCTATAGACATGAACTAAGGTGGGGGAATGCTGGTGGGAGGGGGGTACAGGGAGGAGAGAAATAAAGGGGAGAAATAAATGGGACAACTATAATAGCACAACCAATAAAACATATTAAAAATAATTAATCACAGCTTATAAACTCTGGGAACTCACTAGCATTACACAACAAAACCATCCTTTCAAAAAATAATAATAAAGAAAACAGAATAAAATTCTCTTCTCAAGTCAGGGTGCTGTGGTGCTGGGGGATGTGGCTGGGGTCACTCACTGAAATCGAGGACCAGGGTAGGCCTTCAGCCACTCTTTGCATGAGGCTGGAACAGGTGCTGTCTACTCCTGTTCAGCACCATGGCTCCCAGGACACTTTAAGCTCAGGAAGGATGGAGAACACACAGACCCAGCCTCCCAACCAGAGCTAAGCCAAGCTTCTTACAGGCCTGGTGGCAGGGTCTGAAGCATTCCTAATACTCATGAAGCAGGACATCCATTCTACCATTATTTGACCTGGTTCTGCATTTTTTTAATGTGAGGCCTTTGGGTCTGAGGTGGTGGCAACTGAAAAGCTACTAGAGAGGGAGGGGTGGGTAGACACACAAATGCATATTACCCATGCATGGAAAGAGAGGAAAAACCTTCCATTTAACATGAGCTTAGCACTCAAAATTCCAAAACACATCAAAAAAGAAAATTCTAAGAAAGACAATACACAAAACCAATACTCAATAGATGTTTTCAATATAAACAAAGTAAAAATAATGGAGCAAACCTAAAAAGTACTTTAAACTAGGTTGTTTAGAATCTTTATGGTGACTAATTGCAGAATAAATAACTTTGAAAAAACAAATACATTTAGTCAAGATATGATGGATTGAACATACTCAGGTTTACTCAACTCTGCTAAAACCTTACTAAAATGACAGTAAAAAGATAATAAAAGTAAAAAGTTATAAGTTTTTTATTTAGAAATAAAGTCTATTCTGGCTTTGGCAGTACAAATACTAGAAACAAACATTATAAGGCCTATTATATCATGCAGTACATAAACTAGGATGGTTTTTTTGGGCTGCAAATAACAGA